TTAACAGAGGTATGACCACGGCCTCTTTCCAGCAGTCAGGAAAAATTCCCGACTCCAACGAGCTGTTAATTATGTTGGTGATCACCGAAATAAGTGATTCACTACAGGACTTCAGTAAGTGCGTGGGTATGGGATCGAGGCAACAGCAAGTTGATCTAGAGTTCGCAATGAGCACACGCACATCGTCCTCGACTAACAGCTCAAAGGCTTCAATGCGAGTCGGAGGAATTGTAGAGTCACTATTTACATCACTGTCATCCAGGACATAACCTTGGTAAAGCTCTTCGCGTAATCGGCTGATTTTTTGCACAAAGTACTTCCCAATGTCATTTGCAAGCGCTGATTTGTCCGTATAGTCCGAGAAGCATAACGATTTCGTTACTACTAGAAGGTTTTTCACAGTTCCTGAAGCAATAAGATGGCGACGATGACGACTCAATTTCCCCAAGACTGGGGTAGATCTCCATTTCAATTTACACTGGCTGTTCATTGTATAAGTTCTTCATGAATGTCCTATTTATTATTTTGGTTTCATTTCTATTGAATATCGTGACGTTCGTTTAAACCATCGTCGAATTCTGCAATAGACTGGATGAAGCGAATTAGTAGTGTAATTAGAGTAATTAATGACGTAAGTTTCTAAAATTTTGTTTGTTGGTCTTCATGCAGGAGGTGAAGACATCAGTGACCAGGATGGCAATACAATTACTATGACTGTGGCCGTTACACCCCCTCCTCCTCAATAACACCACAATGAAATACAACAAGCCACGCTAAATGGACCGTCTAAAAACACAAGTGGAATGATTGCTGTCTGAGAGAGAGGAGTGAAGTGCAGTCGGATCCTGTCTAATACGGGCAGCATTAGGACGAGCATACCAAGTTTCCGTTTAAGGGCCGGAGGCATCTGCCTTCAACAAAGTGGATCATACGTTTAAGGGGAAATCGCCCACCTACCCCTCTCCTAAGCCAACATTAACACTTACGTCTTACTTAGGGCAAAATGTTGGCTTAAGGGAGGGGTAGGTGGGCAGTTTCCCAGAAAGAACTAAAGGATCTTTGACTCTGAAGATGACTACCGCACAGGTTGTCGAAACGTTCGTCACTGTTAACAACAACATTCCTATTCAGGACTACAATCACCAGGACGATCAAACTCAACCTACTTTTGAAATGACTCCTGGGTTCAAACCTTTGACAGTTTTAAGTTTTTAGTTATTAACGTTTTATTTATTACTAGTATTACTTTCATTTAAGTAGTTATTTAAAAAAAATTCTTTTATTGTACAAGGCCTCACTGAATATCATTCTTTCTGCAGTGAGCTCCCTGTGCAAAGATATTGTGGTTATTATAAATACCATTATTATTATCATTATTATTAAACTTTGGCACAGCTGTTGTTTGATTTCCTCTCCCCTACTTCTCGAGCACCTTAAAACTCTTGCATAACCGCAACAGCTAACATTTATGGGTCACTTCCATAGAGATGTCAACATCAATAACCTCCAAGTTATTTATAAATTCATTGGTACTGATCCTAATGCCCCAGTTACCACCGGAATTACCTTTGTCCTTGCATCCCACATTTTTCGAACCTCTCGCAATATCTTAATATTTTTCAACTTTCTCGCCTTTCTTTTCTGTCACCTGTCCATCCTCTGGAATTAACGCTGTATAATTTGACAGCTCCTGTCTCTCTTGTTAACGATTTTTATTATTATTATTATTATTATTATTATTATTATATTATTATTATTGATTTTTTTGGCTTTTGTTTTGTTTTGTTTTTGTTTTTGTTTTTTTTGTTTTTTGTTTTTTGTTTTTTCTTTTTAATAATCCAATCTCAAGCAGCATTTGTAAATCTCTATACGTAGCGAGATTTACAATTGTACATTCAAAAACACAAATAAAGTTTCCATTATTATTTTTATTATTATTATTATTATTATTATTATTATTATTATTATTATTATTATAAACCAATTAGCAAGCTTACGTGACCTATTTTGTGCATCAACGAAGAAGTGGCAAAAGTAAGAGATCTCCTAATAGAAATAACACTTTGGTGTTTCCTGGGGCTAGACCCCTAAAAGAGGTTGTGTTTTACTATACCCTCAACTGAATTTAAAAACAAAAAACAAAAAAAAAACAATTACTAACAATACATTTCTCAGGGAAGCGGTTCTATATTAGTGACAACGATAATTCTCGAAGGTTACTACGGAAACCCTTCCAAGTGCTGTTAAATAAAAAGTCCTTTCAATCAGGGTCCACTTGCATACAAATTGTAACGACGAATAGGGTTTTCCACAAATTGCTCGTTAACGTCAAAAGTTGCTTTTTGTGTCGAAAGGTGCTCGAAAAAAACAAACGTTTTTGTTACCCTCTTCCTTTATTCGATCTGAAGCAAAAGTATGCAACTTGTAAAACAAA